TTTTGATTACCTTGATTAGGTAATAAATCAGCTCGTTGTTGATCAAGATTTGCAAGAACATCACCTGGTCGTTCCTGTTTATATCAAAAACAAAAATAGTATATTTAAAATAATATGAAATATTCAATCATTACATTTCGTTGTCGTTCTTCAGCTTGATATTTTGCTAATCTCAATAATTTACCAAGAATTTCAATAGCAATTGCTTCTGTTGTTTCAGCTGGTTGAGCATCAAGATCTTCAACAGCTAATTTAATACTTTTAAATGACCAATTTGGATAAAGTCTTGTTTGAATCTGAAGAGAAAAAAAACAAAAATCATAATCTTAAATTTAATTATGTTCAAAAATATAAACATTATAAGATATATTAAGAATTGATGCTTCTCGTATAAGACCATTATGATTATTAATCGATTGATTAAGATCTTCAAAAATAGATTTCATTGCCGAATTTGTTACTTCAAGATAATGAATAAAAAGAGTTGGAAAAATAAGTAATAGACCAGTAGCCGGTTGTACATTATTATCTTCAGGTGTATTATGTTGATGATTGTCGAAAGGTTTTTCAATAGTAATTGGTAAAGAATTTATAAATTTTTGATAATAATCTATATAAATAAAAATTAAATATATTCAAAGAGAAAATAAAACAATATCTAGAAATAATTCAAACCTCCAAGTTCAGGTTGTTTATCCCAAGTATCTCTTAAACGACCAATAATAACAATATTACTAAGAAATGGAAGCTAAATATAACATATATTCTTGTTTTTTTTTTTCCTTCTTATAAATATTTTTTAAAATATATAATATACTTGTTTTTCTTTGATATATTCGAATAATGTTTGAGTAGGATATGCATGATGATCAACAGCACCACCGCCTCCACTTGCTACTGATGCAACACGATTATGTCTTTGATGATTACGTGGTTGAGCCATGATATTTAAGTTAAATGCTTAATTTAAATTGAATGTTTAATATGACCATCATTTTATATTACAATGTCATAGTAACTGACTCTATAAAATCGGTGAATACGACCTCTATCTCTAAGCTAAAATATTCAGTACTGTGGTTTTTACGTACCGATTAAAAATACATACATGTGTAGATGAGATTGTTAACATATTAATTTACAATTTATGTTATTTCAAAACATAAAATCCTGAATAAAAGAAATTGCTTAAAGCAAATTTCACTCTCCATTTTAATTAATATTTTGATTGTCTTGATAGTAAAATATGAAATCGAGCCATAATCAAGCAAGCAACATTAGGTGTATATCAAATACAATGAAAATACTTTATTGTATACGAAAGTATTTTCGATTGTCAATGCATTATATATATTTCGTTGTTCAAAAATAGTCAGTGATTATCCATCCTGAAAGAGTTAATATATATATATATGAACAAAAACCTTGTCACCCTTCCATTTTTTTTTTATTGTGCCTGTCATCTAATCTTAAACAAATGTTAATGGTAAGAATGATTAAAACTCTTTCTTCAATATTGTGTATGATTCATTACAATTTATTTGAAGGAAGATTACACGTTTCAAAGCTTTATTCTTGTAATTAATATTCGTTTGAGATCCAATGATAAAATATAGAATAGAGAAAGAAGAAAAGCAAAAGTCTTTTGTCTAAAATTGCGTTATTCGAAATAGCATTGCTTTTTACTTTGTATCATTTATAAAATTGAATATGTCGTGTTCGTCTTACTAATGTTGATGACATTCCCTATTTTCTCTTCTGTATTCAAGTAGAATAAGAACCCTAGAGGCTATTACATGGTAAAAATCCATCAATCATTCAATTGAGATGTCTCACTTGAGAACATCAGCTTTTCCTGTCGTCATTAACATTGAAAACGAGACAATAGTTCAATAATTGAAAACAAAAAGAAAGAAAAAAAAGAAAAGATATCCATTGTATAATTTTTCTATATGCTAATTGCTTTGTTATAAATTTTCATATATCGATTAAGGAAATTCTTATCATCCTGATGATTACATTGTTAGTTTGTTTTATTCTTTAAGATATCAATTTAACATAAGTAGTATAATAAATAATTCATCAATTATAATTGAAAACTATCTTGATACTGTGACAAGATAAATTAGATATGATTTTGATGAAAAACAAAAATAAAGAGTATTTTGATTTGAAAAAAAACACACATACAGAATAATGACAGCAAATGAACTAAATACAAATTAATTATTTTTTTCTTTCTTTTTTTTTTTTTTATTTTTTATCTACCAATACAAATCGATGTCGATAAGTTTGACTATATACTGAATAAACTAGAGTTTTATCGGTAGTGCAAGTATGCTTTCCGAACGACACACAATCGTCATTTTCTTGATAAGAGAGACAAAATTCTTTTCCGGTTTTTTTTCTGGAGAAAACTAGAATATGAAAAAGAGGGAGAGAGAGAGAGAGTAAGATATATATATAGAACAAATGGAGGCTAGTAGTGTGCTTCAGCTCTTTTTTTTATAAGAGAAAAATGCAGTATCACTCTTGAGGACAAAAGCAAACATATACAATTGCGGAAGTCATAAAACGTTTTCAAACATAGAAAAGTTTATTTTCTAATTAACTGTATACGATTAGGATTTATTTAAATCTACGTTTTAGATAATTCTTTTCTTCTACAAAATTTCTTTTTCTTTAATAAAAAATCAAAAACAAAATGTCGACAACAAAAACTTCATTTGATGATCTTCGATCAGAATTCGATCGTCTTGACGAAGTAAGATGAATAATTAAAGCTAAATTTAATAGAAATTTTTTTTTTGTCTATATGTTTTAGGATAGAGATGGTTACATAACTTTAGACGAATTTCGTGCATTTCATTCGAAAACAACAAAAGATGATTCAGCTATAGCCAAAGCTTTTGCTGCTATTGATTCGGATAAAGATGGTCTTGTAACATTTGAAGGTATTGAAAATTAAAAAAAATATATATGTATATATATTTTTATTTTTATTTTTATATAAAAACTTTTGATTTCGTTTCTAGAATTTCAACGTGCATATAAAGATTAATATGCAGATCAATTTAAACTATGAATAAACAGTTTCTTCTTCTTCTTTTTTTTTAAATGTATGTCACCTGCACGTCACTTTTCTGTGTTTGTTTGTCGATGTTCATTATATATTAATGATTACAGTATGAAAAAAGTGTTTTTGTTCAGTTACGCATCATTATTTTTGTCATAAATCACTTACTGTTCACTTGCTTAGTATATGTGCATATATATATTTCCTTCAATGTACTGAAAATATATATTTATTGACAGAATAAGATCAATCTTGAATCGAGCTGAAAAAAAAAACGAACATAAACTGCACTATCTATCTAATGGCATCTTCAAGGTCAAAAAAAAAAAGAAGAAAGAGCGAAACATGCCATGGAATCAAATGCCATGTGATTATCCATGTCATTAGAACAAAGTGCTGGCTCGTACCCTACTTTGGATAAAAATAGCACTGTATATTAATTTGTAACATGTCAAAGTTTGACGCTGGTTATTAAAACGGATAGAAACATAAAGAAAGAGAAATGTCTTAATTAAAATAAAAGTTTGACATGTGTGATATGAAACAGATCACTTTGAAAATTATAAACCAAATCTAATTCATTTATTGAAACAAATAAAAAAAAGACGTAATAGACCATATATATATTCTTTGAGTGATTGATCTTTTGTTAGAATTATATTTTAAGAATAGAATAACAAAAAATTCATTATAGTTTTTCTTATAAAAAAAAAAGGAAGAATCCTATTTAATCATTTATTAGTACGAGAAGAGTGCAAACGAAATAGAGCAAATAAACAAAACTAAATATTTAAGTATATCATCTATCGGGATCCACATGTAAAAATAATGAAGAGAAAACATGATATGTCGATTAAAGAAAAACATGGATGTGTAAGAATACTGAAATGAATTGTAGAAAAGAAAAAATAAGACAAAGAAATAAAACATACCATTTGTTCGGGAAGAGTGTATTTAATAGTATTAAGAAAGAATTCAAACTAAAAAAAAAAAAAGAAATTCTTTTCTAGTCTATTCTATTTTGAAATAATACATATTTAAATCATTGTACACTCTATTCATTCCAGTAACAAATATTTTTTTTTGTATGCATTTTGATTTTTAATATTCGATCAATGTTTTCATTGGTAGTCTCTATCATTAGGATGAATAAGACAATAGATAATTGAATATTGTTATAGTGATTTCTGATGTTTTCAACTTTGACTAATAATCTTATATAGTTGATAGATGGCTTTAAAAGATTATACATATAATATAATTGATTAACAACAATGTATCGTCTTTTTTTTTTTTTGATCGGTAAGAATTTTTTTCTTATGTAATATTATACTTTAACAAATTTCGACTCATCTATAAATCTATCTTCTTTATAATATGAAAAATCTTCTTTAAAATACTTTAATTACATATAGTCAACAACTGATAATAATAGCGAAAGTAAAAATTTGGTCAAGAATTTTATCAATAAATTGCATTATTTTTTATATAACCAACTCTACATAAGTTTTATATTTCAATAGATTACAAGTTTATTTTTTTTCTATTGGAATTTAACATTAGAATCTTTTCATACATGCCAAACAAAATATCATCTCATTAGATTTCTAATCATATGAAGAAAAAAAAAAAATTCCTAACCATCATATTTGTAATGATAACACTGTTATCTTTCAATGCAACAATCGGCTCATATTCATTGCTATTTCATTGTAAGACAAAAAAATGACATCATCACTATGAGCAGCAACACTCACATTATCTTGAGCTATTCAATTGATATATATATATATATATATACATGCTTAGTCCTATCATTATATAATAAACGAAAGAAGACAAAAAAAAAGAGAATTTTCATATTTAAATAGACTGAAGGTGTTATATACATAAGACAAAAATATATATCTTAACGATTGAACAAATGCCAGTTGCAACAGTAAGTCTTTAAATTAATTTGAAAAGAAAAGAAAATTGTTTCTTTTTTTTTGTTTTTTAAAGATTGAAACAAAATCTGTAAAAATTGATGATGATTTAACTGATTTATCATGGCTTATACAAATGAATAATAATAATAATAATAATAATAATAATAATAAACAACCATTTTCAATATCAAATGGATATAATCATGAAAATAGAAATAAAAAAATTGAACGAATTAATAAACCATTTGCTGTTGTAAATGGTCAAACAATTCGTTCATCAATACCAACATTTTCTCGTGATCATCAATATTCAAATGAAGAAAATCAATTTTATTCTCAACAATCATTAAATAATCAAACAATGAAACGTAAATTTGATTCAACATTATCATATCATCATCATCATCATCAACCAAAACGTTTTCAATCCGAACAAACTCTTCCAATACATCCAATATCATCATTATCATCTGAATCATTCTATATTAATCGTTCACCATCTTGTATACCACAACGAACATCTATGCCAACAACATCACGATATATGTTACTCAAAAATGATCCATCACTTTCTGATACAATATCAACTGTTCCTATGTCGACAAATTTAAATGAATCAATGGAACATAAAAATATTTATTCTGATGATATTGAACATTTATTAGATATATTTAAAAATGAAGTAGAAATGATTGGACTTGATCCAATAGCAACAACAAGTGCAGGTGATTGTGCTATTGATTTCGGTCATTGTTTACCATCAAATGAATTTTGTCCTTATTGATTTTTGTACATTTTTTGTTAAGCTATAATATAAAAAAAAAAAATTCATGTTTTTTTCTTTTTCATTGCAAGTTCAGATAAATAAATTCTATTTCAAAAGCTGTTTAGATAATTGTTCGAATACTTATCTCTAATTGATATTTTTCATTTAGCTATCTTGTGAGTTATGAAGATAGTTTGGAAACATAATTCAATTTATATTTTTCAATGTAATTATTAATCTTGAAGATTTCTTATTCAATATGTTTGTTCATATTTCAATAGGTATGATTCAATGAAGAAAAATATGCATGTATTTAGTAAAATTTTGCTAAATAATAAGAATACGTTCATAAACAAATTAAAAGGACAATTTGAAATTTCTCAATACATAAGAGATAGTCTTTTTTTTATCATTGAGCTGCATCAAATCATATTTTTTCTTATCCAAATAAGACAATTAATTGATTATAATCAAGAAAAAAATTTATTTTATTTAATAAATTAATTTTTATTTAGTTTACAAGTTTGTAATGATTTATAACGATATATCACTGATATATTTTGTCATGTTTGACAATTGTATAATGTAATTAATTTGAAAAAATTCTCTTCGAAGTTCGGCAAATATTAAAAAAATCAACTGGAAAACTTACTATATAATGTCTAAAGAATTCAACCGAATGAATATTAAATACTAACGATTGTTTGTGAAACATATACATAAACACTTGAGACAGATGTTGTCATTAGACAAAAAAGACATATTGTTAGAAATGATGTTGTTGAGTAGCACGATCAAGGATTACCGAATTCAGACCATTTTGATCTACTATAAGTAAAAATTTCATTGATTTTTATTTCGTTAGAGTTGAGTTATTCGAAAAATACCGGCCGTTACGAAATTTCAAAAAATTGAAACTTTTAGCGAAGGTGTATTTAGCATTATATCCAGAGGTGTATCGAATGAAAGGGATCGAGGGCGATCTTTTCAATCTTTAAAAATTTTTGTTCCTCCCAGCAAATTTGTACCATTTTCTTCGTTTTTTTTGCTTATCGATCTCTATGACAAAAGTCGACCCTTAACTTGTCGTGAATTCTACCTTTTCAGTAGTTATCCGCTCCACCATCTTGGTGACTTCGAGATATCCATGATTTCATTTCGAAACGAAGCGACATAGAAATAAACTTTCTATGTGGATTTTTCAGAGGAGGTCAGTGTGGAAGCTCCGAATCGTGTTCACTGTTCCCGTAGCCCACAGATATTCTTGCTCACACCCACTTTCAAACCAATCACACCATCTAAATCTACTCCTTTTTCTTTATCAAACTTTTTATAATTTGTCTACCAGAGTAATATTTTCAATGTTGAAGAAATTGATCTCAACTCAAAATAGTCGATTTTCATATATGCCACAGTAAATCATGTCGCATGAAGACAGAACAGAAAAAAAGCTATTAGTTAAGAAGCATACTACAGTTGATTGACTTAGTGCACTGAGCCGATAGTGGCATGTTTCTTAACCAATAATTCTTTTTTTTGTGTGTGTTCTGTCTTTATTTAGATAAACAATGATTGTGTGCTTATTCTATATATATATTCAATTGGCATCGCATCATCAAACAACGTGACCTCATAGTGTAATTGGCTATTGATGTCAACTTTTGGAATGTGACACGCGAAAGCGAGTAAAAAAAAAGAGAAGAGAAATAACGAAGCTGACAATTTTTACATTGTCAAATCTTTTCTCGAAATGGCTAGAAAACAATGCAATAATCCGATAGTTGATATTCCAGTCGCCTTAGCTTGCTTTTTTTTGCGTTAGCCTTGGACCACATCTTGAGTGGTCTAATACTTTATTATACTGAACATTCGAAAGAATTGAATTATAAAGAAAGTAATTGTCGTGTGTTAAGGATTGATTATAAAAAATTCACATGCCGATCAAACAAGGCTAAATACGGCTGCTATGTTACTACATAGACAGTGCAATACATAGAAAAAACGGCAATCAATGCCGCTATCAAAAGTAAAACATCTTATCAAGCTCAAGAGGAAGCTATGACGAAAACAGATGAATATCAGGTAAATAATAGTTCTAGTGATGGAAACTGGTCTTCTGCACTATTATTCATATGTAGAGACATGCAATAATAAGATTTTGTTTTATCATCACTCGTTATGATACAATTATAAATATAGAAGAGTAATGTCAGATTTGCTTGAGTGACTCTCAATGAGATGAGAAAAACATCTAAAAAAACAGCTATCTGATTTGAGAAAACAGTATCCCGATTCTATTTTTGGATGGACGGATTGAACATGTTGGATTAGACTTACGCTATTTCAACTTTCAAGAACACAAAAAAAACTCAATATTTTCAAAAGTTCATTGTTCCGAAAAGAGAAAGATTGGTAAATATTCGGAATGTTCAAATCTGATTCTATACATTATTTGACATTAAAGAAGGCTAATAGAAAGAACAAGAGAGTTTTTACATATTACTGACATCGAAAAATCATCGATTATTTGTTTTTTAGATCAATACCATACATTCATGTTGGTATGATACACATCAGTAAAGTGTGACTCAATAAAACAAATCAAGTACTAAAGTCGCTCTGAAACTTTTAATCTTTAGTCCTCTATATACTGCGCTCGGTGCACTCTTCATGTTTCTTGATATCTACTGTCGGAAGCAGCAGAGTCGAGATATTTAAACATTTGCATGTCTCTAATTTCGAACATAATCGCATTGAATAGTTCCATGTAAAAACAAAAAAAGGTCGGAAAAAAATCGGATTACAATCGATTTTTTTTACATGAATAGCTCTGGATGAATTGTTTCAACCTATTATATATATTATCTGCTTATCGATTTTAACCTATTTTAATCATACTTATCGAAGAGAAATGGTTTTCTCGAGATTATAATACAAATCGACTAATTTTCTGTGATGTTTTGGATTTCTCGTGTTTACATCCTATAAATTTGCTAGTGAACCAAACTCGAGCAAATGTAGGAAAATTAGAACTCCTATATAAATTGTTTTTGATAGATACGGTGCCAGAAACAGATTTAAATAAAAAGTGTATTGCGCTTCTCTCCACATTCTCTCATCACATTACAGACCTTACCAACCAAAGTGAAAGTTTAGGGAGAAATGGCGTACTTTGACGTTAGATGAACTACTTTAAAAATACCTGGAAATACTTTTCAAAGTGCATCAAACTATAACGCATATCAAATATTACTCGTGCAGTAACTTTATTACTCAAAAAATACCTTCACGCACATCGTGTACTTGAGAGTGCCACGAAAACAAGAACTCAATCAAAAGACACACGCGCACAAATGTGGATGCCGTAGAAACTAAGATCCCAGCAAAAAAAGAAGAATACACATGCCAGCTGTTAACAGCAGTATCAATGAATATGGCCTAGAAGAATATCATTATTCTCAAATAAGCTATTGAATATTCTTCGTATTTCTCAGCTCTGACATAATTTCCGGACTTGTATACATCATTATCCAACTAAAGACTTGTACAATATAAAATATTACAAAAAATTGATCTATTTCAACTTAAAATTCTAAACTTTTAATCAAAGAATCTATTTGAGAAATCCAAGCACAAATTGTGCATATTTATTACTAGCCAAAATAATAATAATAATAATAATAAAAGCAAAAAAAAAAACAACAAAACAATCGAATACGATATTATTCATCGAACCATCACTATTCAAAAACAAAACGTCGACAAATTAGATTTATAATTTATCATCTAACTGAAAGAACAGTATTTTTTCTTTTGTGAAAAAATACTGATAAATAAATATTGCAAAGTAAGAAATAGATACTAATCATATGCACATAAAAGAAGTTATTGACAAATTAATAGAAAATAGAAAAATAAATAGGCAAGATTACAACTCGAATGAGTATACCAAAAAAGAAAAGACACAAAGATAAAAAACATCTTTTTTGTTTCTTAAAACAATAATTGTGCTAATGGAAGATCATCAAATATTTTATCATCATCAAATTGTTGTACACTATGTTCTAATGTTATTGCTGCAAGTTCTTTAAGAAATTCATTGAATATAACAGCACAATAAGCTATATTACGTGCTTTTGGATCATCCCATTCATTTAGAGGTATATTTTGATGATTATCATGAATATTAATAAATCTAAAACAAAACAAAAAAAAAAGAACATTTAAAAAAAACCTTATTTAGATTTTGTTTTCATTTTGAATTTACTTCATTGACGTTCTATCAATTAATGTTACTTGAGAATGATCACGTTCTTTTATATTAACATCTGTTCGTTCGGAAGCTCGAGCACGACCACGACCACGAAAAAAATCCAAAATACGACTTCGCTTTGGTGTATGGTCTAAATTAATAAAATAAACAAAAATTTCTTATTCAATTGAAACAAAAAGGAGAATGATCACGATTAAACATGCAACAAAAACAAGGAAATTTCATGCGAAACCTTTCATAGGTATCTTTTGAATTTCAAAAAAAACTCGTTCTTCATCTATGAAAATCGAGATGAAAATATAAATACAAAAAAAAGAAAAGAAAAAGATTATTTTATTCAATTACCTTTGCCTGGATCAGCTGATTTCGATCGTATACGTGATGGAGAACGTGTTCGTTTCTGTATTTCATTAAATTCCTAATAAAGAATAAATATTTTTATTAAATCAAATATATATTTTAAATATATACTTTTGAAGTTTTTTCTCTTTGATATAATGTATCATGTGCTAATTGAACAAGATAATTAAAATCATTAAACGTTTGAGAAATTGTTTCAAGTTTTGATTTGAGATTTGAAAGAATCTTTAATTCAAAAAAAATAAAACAATAAATAAAAGAAGTTTCTTTTCTTTTTGTTTTCTTTTACCTGAAAAAGTGATTTGACATTTGTTTCAAGTACAAGACTATGATTTAGTAATAATGAACGTAATAATGGTTGAGAATAATGTGCTAATCGTGAGAT